ACTTTGAATATAATATTATGACTTAGTAACGCAACTCCTTAACGCGTTGAGTGTACCACTGCAAAATGTTTCAGGAGGCCATCTATTTCGGTACAATATCAAAACATATTTTGTAATAAATTCTATAATTAATGTTCTGTTATATTTTAGAGTTTGCTGAGCAAAAGATAAGCTAATGAAACCATATGAAAATACTTTATTGTAAGAGTTTTTGAATTACTTACTGGAATTTTATTTTTGGGTTTCTTGTTTTTCAAAAGTGGGTCTGTTGAGGTCAAGGTTTTATTGTTAGGTTCGTACAGTTATTACTGGAGTTTTTCATAGTAACTGGGCTTACATTCCCGTCTGAATGTCTAAGAATATTACCAGTATTCGTAGTAAATGTAATGACACGAAGTCCCCTTTTACATTAGTCAATACTTAAATTTTCTATATTCATTCATTTAAAAAGCGAATGAAAAATAATTTCCAGCCAGGTAAACTGAAATAAATAGCAATTCTTTAAATTACGACATATAATTTTGAACTATAAATCGTTAGCGATAAGTCTTACATTTCCCGAAAATTATTAATTAGGCCTTGATGACACTCACTGAACAGCCACACTGATCGAGTTCCAAATTCAAAATTCTCATCATCAACATTTAAAAAAAGAATTGACAATAAGGCTGGTGAAAATAAAGAATTAATTTTGACAAATTCACGAGAAATTAAGCTGTATTTATTTGCTTTGCACTGTGTTGCTTACCCAAAAAATAGATACGGAATAGTGTCTTCGTACACGTGTCCAACATTTTTATATCATTCTGCTTTAAACAATGTTTACTAGACCAAGAAATAGGTACATGCAATCTTATTATTGTGGACCACAAGAATTCTCCAGAGGAGATCGGGGAGAAGCGGAAGGCATAGTTTTATATAATTATCAAAGTATTATTATTTATATTCCAGAAAGTATTAAAAGTTTTTTTTATAATCGTATTGATAAAGGTTTCCTCAATTATTATTTTTTAATGTATCATTATTATATTTATCGAAAACTATTAATAACTCAAGTATAAAGACTGCCTCATTGGCCGAGTGGTCGCAAGCATGACGGCGGCCGGGACAAGGGATCTCGGGTTCGATTCCCGAGTCGGGCAAAGTGGGATATAAAAAAACAATATAATCATACAGTTCCATAGAACTGTGCCCGGTAATAGGCTCACCCCGTATTACAATTTATTATGAGTCCAAACTCATAATATAAATAGTGAAGAGTAGGTGTTACATAGGGTTTCACGTTAGTAGGTGTTACATAGGTATAAACATAACATCACGCCTTTTATCCCCAAATTTCGGCACTTAATGCCACTGTACAACGTAACACCCACTTTTCACTGTTTGTGTTATGAGTTCCATGCAATAGGGGGTAAGCCTATTGCCATATTACACCGGGCACATTTCCAGACTCCGTCCTAATACTGAGATTGTTTTTAAAAACCACTTTGCCCGACCCGGGAATCGAAACCGAGACCCCTTGCCCAGCAGTCGCACTTAAGACCACTCGGCCAACGAGGCAGTATCTAAAATGAATTTTACTATAAAGCAGCTGAAGTTTTGTTTCCAAAATGGGTACCTTTTTATGTATCCTATATTTCCCATCTCTCCTCGAGCAGCTGCTCGCAGGCGATGTAATCAAGGCAGTAAGACAAACATGTTCTGACCACTGAGGGTAAAGGAAGGGTATTTTTAAGAGGAAGCCTTCGCTGTCGTAATAAATCTTTTTTAATTATTTTGTAGAGAGTAACAACATATTGCACTTGAGAACGGGAAGTTAGATAATAGGGATGTCGACAGGGTATGAAAATTAAAAATCTAATTAGTCCGTAAGTTAGGTAATTAAAAAATATTAGACACGTATTTTTTATTTTCTCGTATAATAAAACAATACTTAGATAAAACGAATCAAAGTTTAGGAGTGGGGGCTAAAACGTCATTTCTACGTATAAAATGTACATAAAAGTGACGTCACGCGTAATTTCAAATCAATATATCGTCGAAAGTATTTGTTTCTGTAAGAAAATAAAAAATACGTGTCTAATGATTAAAAATAATCTACCAGATGGACATTAAAATAAAAATTTGGGTATTTTAGCCAGTTTAAAAAAAAATCTCAGTAGAAGAACGGAGCCTGGAAATGTGCCCGTTATATGGCAATAGGCTCACCCCTTATTACATGGGACTCATAACATAAATTGTGAAAAGTGGGTGTTACTTCTGTGTGCACCTCTGCCTACCCCTTCGGGGATAAAATCGTGTGATGTTAAACATAACATATAACAATGTATAATATTATGTTATGGTGTTCTCTTTCTACCCCGATGGGAGACAGGCGTGAAGTTATGTATATCTATCTGGGGCGACCCGCTTCTGGGAGACCAGCTAAACCGATTCGCTACCGTAAAAAGACACAGAGACGCAGAATATCCGGCTCGAAGGACCATAAAATGTACGGTGCGTACACTTGCAGCGTGTTTGTTGAGGTTGGAGCGCGAAGAGAAAAGATTCACTTAGTTAGATTTAGAACGTTTAATTGTGTTCACAATAAAACTGTTGACGATTCCTTTCTCTAATGTTGGTCACCGCGTTGCAGTAATTGCACTCACTCATTTATTATGTTGTATCGGTATTTATAGAAACAAAATATGTACGTCAGTCATTTTAGGACTGTACAGTGTATGTATGTTAAGTTGTTATTAAGCAACTATATGAAATAAGAAAAGGCAATATTCTTACCGGTATGATAAAATAAGATTGTCTTCTCCTATACCTAGTTTATGTCACGGAGAACCTAACGGGTAACCGGGGATCCGGCTCGACGTGCAGGAGAAGGAACGGGGTGGTTTTTAGTCAGTAAGAGTCTGACACTCCCTCCCGCCTCACCCAGGAGGGAGCAGTCATTCGATGATTTTCCCCCCTTAAAAAAAAAACCTAGTTTATCATCATATACTGGAAGACTTTCATAGATGAGTATAAGCCACACCTCCATGTTGGACGGCAAGTCGCCATTTACATGACACCTCGCGGTTGTAATGATGTCGCTGGTCCACCTAACAAAGAAGGCTGCTAGGACTAGCAAGGCACCTTGTTTGAAACATTCATAGATTTTTCATTTTAGGAGTTGATTGTCCAATTAATTTTTGACATCGTATTGTCGTTACATCATCGTACATACAATATTAGGTAAAGGAACAGATAATATATCAATGAGATTGTAAAAAACGGTTTTTAAAAGACTAAAAATGGAGATTCTTGCTCGTACTTCTCCATTACAATATTCAAACATCCAAAAATCCAAACTACACTATGGAACGAGCACCTAGCTTCACTGGCAGACAGACGGCTGACAACAATATTTGTTTAAAAAGTGCCCAATTAAAGATTAATTGCAATAAATGCTTCTTCTTTTACTTTAGCGGAATGGAGTCAAGACTAACTCTATACAAACAAAAAAACAAAGAAGAAAAAAATACATATCAATCACTAATCATCTTAATTAACTAAAAATCGCGGGTTAATCACGCGTGAATGTACTGAGAAAACCTCTACTAGTTTCGAACCACAGAGGGGTTCTTCCTCATAAGCAGCGAGCGCGGTCGCGGCGATGTCGCGCAGCCTACTAGATCAGCCCAGTAGAGCTTTTCTCAGTATATTCACGTGAGTAACCCGCGATTTTTAGTTAATTTAGTATGTCTCACGATAGTTATTATAAAAACACTAAATATCTCAGTGACAATAGCTTCTTCTGATGTTGAAAGAGTAAAATAAAATTGATATGACAAATTACCTACAGAATATTAGCATCTAATAATATCACATGCAATTTATTTATCCTATAGATAGTTTTGCTTTGATTTCAGCAGTGCCTTTGACCATGAAAATTATGCATGAACTTGACTTTGTACACGAATCCGAAGGTCCAAATATCATGCATAATAAGTCATCGCATATTATTTTATACTGAAAGTGTCAAGGTCGATCAATATATGAAAAACAAAAAGATATTGAATATCCCTATAATAATTCAAAATAATCTATTCATTGGATATTTTCTGTACAGGATTTGCTATTGAGAATATGTTGGAAAATGACTTAGGGTTGACTATACTCATGGGTTGTTAAAAAGGGTTTTAATAGTATCTATCAAAATTAAAATTGAAATAAGATCTTGAATAGAAATCTAGTCCACTAGATTTTTTTATGAAATAGGTAAGAGCTAAACGAGCAGGCGGGTCACCTGATGGTAAGCGATTACAGCTATTGTTAAAAAACCAAATGCTTTTTGTAGAATGAACGGATGATTTATAGCATAAGCCGGTAATCGAGCAGACGGATCACCTGATGGTAAGCAATCGGCGTCGCCCATGGACACCTGCAACAATAGAGGCGTTACAAGTGCGTTACCGGCCATTTGCGAGTTTGAGGATCGATGGGAATTCAGGAATTGGGGATACTGGGGTTGGGAGAGTAATTGGGACTCTGGTAACCTTACTCACACGACGAAACATAACGCAAGCGTTGCTTCACGTCGGTTTTCTGTGAGGCCCTAGTATCACTCCGGTCGAGCCGGCCCATTCGTGCCGAAGCATGGCTCTCCCACAGTTGATTTTTACATAATGCTTCAAGTACGAGATTTTTTGTAGATAGTTATTTATCCATAACTCAGAAATCATCGAAAAATACCCCTTTAAGAAAATCACTTACCTTGTGATCATCTACGATTCCTATACTGGAAATAAATAAAAAACACTGAACAAGAAACCTCCCCTTAAATCTGACCTCTTTACAGAAGTCCAGAGCAATACGCAACTAGCATTGTTTTAATTTAATAACCATCACACACTCCCTTTAGGATTGAAGGGGACAAACGAAAAAATTACTTGTGACACCCCTGGAGACCTCGCCTACTCGCCTTTCCTTTATAAAAGCAGAGCAAAGCTTGGAAGCTTCAGAAACGAGGTAGCAACCCTGAAGTCACTACGGTCCTTCATAGTTGGGCTGTGGAAACATGGTCTTAGGATTAACCGGAAAATTCATGTGAGTACTGAACACTTCTTGTTAAAAATTGTCCATTAAAAACCTAGAAATGTCGTACAATTAGCCATTTCGTAATTTGTTTAGAGTTCTTTTTATATTTTGTGTATTTTTTTCAAAGTTTTAATGATAAATAGGTGTTTTGTTATCCTTTTATTCAGGGTAGAATCGAAATCGATAATATTATTGAATGCAATCGAATTGTTCCGTTTCCCATAGTAACTCATTAAAGCTGGAGTTTAACGTAATATTACCTCTATAATAGTAGGTTTTTATGTGTTGCCGTAAGTATAGAGTTTGTCTTTTTCCAAGTATCTTCTCACACAGGCAGGTCAACGTTCAAACACGGATGTTATTAAAAAATAAGACAGTATTTGTGTTTTCTTCTTGTAGGTCGCTATGTTATTGATAATCTAATTCTTTCAAGTGTGTAGAACTCACAGTTATACTTACTTCACCTTACATAAGTGAATAAAGTATTTTCTTAGATATTGATTAATTCTTTGTCCACAGAATCTAACAAAATGCGCAGAAAAGTACAAACGTTTCTCCTGTTCATCCTGATAATAACTACCGACGTCGTCCTTGGCAAAGCAAACAAAACTAAAACTTATAAAAACCACAACAAGAAACAAAATTCTTTGAAAGACAAGTCAGAGAATGAACGTGTTAAGAGATCTCTGAACGATGACGATGACAGACCATTTTGGCCTAATAAAGGCAAAAAACTAATAGGTAATGACCCTAACTATAACAGTAAATATGATAACGATTTTGCAGGTAATCAAAAGTTTGCTAAATCTAATGACCAAGTTATGAAGGAAGAACCATTTTGGGGAAATAGAGGACGACGAGACAGTTCAATGGAGAATTTATACGGCTACACTGTCGACTTTCCTGATTACTTTGTCAAACACTGCGAACATTGCACAGAGTTTGCTCAAAAGCCAAACGATTACTACGGAAACACAAAAGACAGGAGGGAAGATTTCGTATCTCCATTCTGGGGAAGTCGTGGTCGACGTAATTCTCTAGAATCTGAAGGATCTGAAGAAGATCTCTTTTGGGGCAGCAGAGGCAGACGGCAAGACCAAGAGCCATTTTGGGGTAACAGAGGTAGGAGGACAGAGAATGAACCATTTTGGGGAAATAGAGGAAGACGTGAAGAAGAACCATTTTGGGGAAATCGTGGTAGACGTGATAAAATTGAACCTTTTTGGGGAAACCGTGGTAGGAGAGAGATCGATGAACCATTTTGGGGAAATCGAGGTAGAAGAGAGACAGACGATCCGTTTTGGGGCAACAGAGGCAGGAGAGAAACAGACGACCCTTTTTGGGGAAATCGAGGCAGAAGAGATGAGGAACCATTTTGGGGTAACCGTGGAAGGCGGAAGACTTCGGAACCAAATTGGGTTCGCAAACAAGATCTAAAAGAATCAATCTTGAATGCAATTAATGACGCAGAAGAGGATATAGAAAATCTCTCACGACTCAAGAAGAGTAACGCTGATCCGAATTCCTTTTGGACAGGTAGGGGAAGAGAAAATAAGCTTTCAATGTTGTTTAGTGGACCTCTCAAAAACAGAGCTAATTTACCTAAAGCTGCTAGACTGCATGGCCAAACTACGGAACCAGGTACAGTGTTAGACAATCGAATGTATGTTGATGAGCCCAATTATATTTTAGTTGAAAGGACTGGACGTTCTTCAGCCGAAGCTGATGACCCTTACTACATATCAAGAGGTAAAAAATATTATATAAATTATAATTTGGAGCAAGCTGCAAGAGACAGGCGTGGTGCTATTGAAGAAATTGTGAAATCTGTTCGTAACGACCCATATTACATTGCTAGAGGCAAGAAAGATATTAATCTCGCTAAAAATGGAACTACACTCCACAAAGAGGAATATACAAAAGCCAAAGAACTAATTTGCGCAGCGATTGACTTGATAATGATCAAAAACGATAAAGGCAAAGTTAAAAGGGAAATTGACGATAATGATCGAGATAGGCGTACTATATTGAAGAAACTGGCAGCTCAATTACAAATGGATCCATATTTCGTAAGTAGGGGCAAGAAAAATCAAATATCCGGTGACAAAGATAATCTCCAAGATTTCATTAGTAATGTAGCTGATAAATGTAACTAAAATTAGCAATATAATTTGTCATTTCATATCGTCAAAGATATATTTATGGAACTTGGTGTAACTTTAGTCTATACGTACTTAATAAATTATTATTATTAGTAGCCCAATTATTAAAACATGTCTGTGACCTGATCAAATAAAATATAGATTGTTTATCACGTCTTAATTCATTTGCCTTTTTCTTCCAAACATTTCCTTAAAATAAATAAAAACTTCAAAAGATCTGTTGTAAATTATAACCTTTTTAAATTATATTTCTGTACTGAATAATAATTTGGAACAGCTTTTATTTAACATTTATTTCATGATGAGCCTTGATATTTTTAATGACGCTAATAAATTCTCAGTAGTTACAAATCTTAGTTAAATAAAACACAGTCATGTTAGTGCGACTTTTTTATTATTCTGCAATATTATAAATATAGGATACATCATCCAAACATCCTATTTTAAAAATTTGTTGCTCGCATATGTCAAATCAGGTAACATTTCAAAACTTTTTTGAGCAATCATGAAATTATAATTTTTTTCGACCAGATTTTGATGACGTGGCAAGGTACATTCGGAATATAACAGTTGTATGTATACCTACTACTACGCTAAACGAGAAAATATAAATTACAAACTGATTTTGGTTTCCGAAACACATTCCTGATGTTACCCTTGATTACTTTCTCAACTTTCTAGAAGAAACTGTGAAACATGAATTAGAAAGATTCAATCTAAAAGATAGATCTAAAGATTACACCTAAATAGACGAAGAGATCAGTCTAGAGTTTAATTAATATTTTAGACATCAACATCGAAAACCTTGTTGCACATGAGTATGTATATATTATTATATCAAGCCAAGATCTCTAGTAGATTAAAGTCTAGTGAAAATCAAATTGAGCTAGTAAGCACGAGTAACGAAAAATCTGAAAGCTATGACAATGAAAGTAATGAACAATTTAGAAGACCTAAAACCCTTAGGTACACAAATTTATCATTATTTCAATAGCCTACAACAGTTGTAACTGTTCACTACTACTCAGACAACGATAATATTATTATAAAGACACATACTATGCCTTGATATGGGTAGGATACATGTAAATAGTTCTAAAACACTGATAGAAACGTCTTTAAGGTACGCAACAGGCCATTATACAGATGGTCCAATTTATTTAATAATACTGCACGTTTAAATTAATTTTGATACATTTGGGGCAAATTGATAAAATTCGACATTTCATGTCCTAACGTTAATAATCTCATATCACGCTCACAAGCGCAAAACACAAAAAGATTTATTATACTTTTTAACATACATCAACGTTTCCAAATGAAAGCTGGAATAACACTAACATTCATTGACGAAAACATTTAAAAAATAAAACCTTTAGGCTTCCACTGACGTGTGAAATGTACGAAGAATATTCAAAACGTCAATTCTCAAAATCCGTGGCGCAGTGTGCGCCGAAAAGTTCTAGAACCCTGTAGGCCGCAAAATTCGTTCAGACCCTCCACAGAAGGAGATGATTGGTCGAATCTTCTCTGCCTGCGTCTTCTGTCATGGTGGAACTCCTGAAGTCTTCGTATCCGTCTCCACCAGATATGATGAGGGTTTCCTTGTTATTCTGAGCTGGCTCAGTTTGTTTCTGTAGTTTCTCGGCGTTGGTCGACCTGCGACTTATTGCCTTTGTCTTCAATGACGTCTGTGTCTGTTTCGCTGGCTGCTTTTGAGCGGCGGGGTTCTCTACGATCGTTAGGAACCTCACGTGGCCAGTATGTCCGTAGGTAATACCTGGAAGATAGATTTTTATTATAAATCTTAACTATGTTATTACATATTGTAACTAAATAATTTTCTAGTTTGTCCACCAACTGCAAAGTGTTAAACTAGATCCAATTTAGAACCTTGCAGAGTACTAATACTAGATTTTCTGTTTTTTACTCGGAGCATCTCCAAATATCCTCTTTATTCGGTTCATCTTACCAGTCAGATGAGGAACAGTGAAAGCTCCAGTCCTAGGGTTGGGTGAGTTGTGTAGTGGTGCCGTGAGGAGCACACCAGCACTGGTGCCCACCCAGAGTGTATCACGGTGCGCCAGTAGGGCTGTCACGCGAAGACAAGCCGCTTTGTGCTGACGAATTATATCGTCGCAACCTGAGAATGAAATTACAAGATGAGAAAATATATCTTAGAACAGATTTCAATACCTATAGACTTATTTTATACTATTTTATAGTTAAATTTCTTTTAATTTAACATAAACTGTGATTAGAAGCACATCCTCATTATTTTGTCACCTTTATGTTGAGAATTTCTATCTTACTTCAAAGTAAATTAGACAAAATATATTTTTAATTCTTCAAAAGGTGAAGATCTGAGTCATTTCGAAGCGTTAAGTACAACAATAATAAAATACTAGTGTACTGCTTACCATGCAACATCTTAGTAACTTGCGGCGTGATATTGATCTCGGCCAACTGCTCGCGACTGCTGGAGTTGTAGCAGCGGAGCTGGGCAGCATTGTGCAGAGACAGCCATATTGTGCCACCTGCCACCGCCATGTGGCTGATCGGCTTCGTCTCTGAACTTATTTGGAATGTTTCGTCCACCTGGAACATAAAGATAGTCATTGTGTGACTCAATGTATAATAGTGACTACGAATTTCAAAGATTATCAATATGTCACTGTTGGAGAGGAACACATTATAATTAGGTGACTTGTACAACGAATACAAATAAAATAAGACGTTATGACTGCGTAAGTCATCGGCGATCGGAGTGTAAGCGGAGAATTTGCCTTCAAAAGATTTCCGAGGAAAATGAAAGCTTGCCTTGACTTTGAGATAAAACCTAAATCTTTTAAAATCTATAAGCAAAGTAATACAGAATATTTATATATTTACACACTTTATTGTACACCACAAAACATACATAGAAAAATAAACATAAAAAAAAATGTGTACAATGGGCGGTCTTACCGCAGAATGCGATTTCTTACAGACAACCTTTGGATGGAGCCAGTAATAAGGAGTGGGAAAAAAATTAATTCCACAAAAATTGGTAAATAATTTTAGCTACCTGCAGTGTATGCGGGTTGATGATCTTGATGGAGGCGTGCGTGGCGCACCACAGCCGGCCGCCCGACAGCAGCATGCTGCCCACCGGGCTGCTGCCCGTGCCCACCGGCAGCGTCGACCGCTCCGTCCACGAACCGTCTGGTCACACCATCAATATCAGCACAAACGAACGTGAAATTATTTAAGCTTATAAGATGCTTAAGATGTAGTACAAGATCTTGCTGATCAGTGACACCAGCGCAGCGTTCAGATGATAAAATTAAATAACTTTTATGTCAGAACTTTTTGGAAACTAAAAGATTTCTTTGTCAATTTATGTGAAATTCTTTGATAGTTTTCTTTTATCAGGAGATAAAATCAATGATGAGAATCGTTGTTTAGCGGATGAGAAAGGAAACCCGAAAATAATGGAATATTTTATTTGTAAAAGTTTGTGATTTTTGGCAGCCTTTCTTATTGTATTGGTATATTTTTGAGTACTCACCAATATCCCGGCAGTATACGACTAGATCGCCGTTGCCAAGTGCAACAAATACTTTTCCCTCCACGTAACTGAAACAACAAACACACCAATTATTCCAGTGATCAATTTTCAAACTGATTTGTTTATGATTCTTAACTACATCTACTGCTAAATGACCTACACTGCGAAATAAGGCTCATTTCCTCGAGAGCAGTAATGTAATCTAGTAACACTGTGGACTTTAAGATACTGTTTCCAACAATACACAGACGAAGGCAGTACTTCTTAGTTATTTGGAATACTTATTATTAAATATTACATAACATACCTGAAAAGGTAGGCAAAGGTGTAGATTACGGCAGTTAATGCCATTGTAAAATGTAACACCCACTTTTCACTATTTATATTATGCGTCCCATGTAATACGGGGTGAGCCTATTGAAATGTCATCATCATTTATGGTCACTGTTGAATACAGGCCTCCCTTAATGACATTGAGATCAGCCGGTTGGAAGTGAATTTAAATTGAAAATCTGATAGATGACTATTCTCATTTACTAAAACATGTTCCATCTACTTACACAATGGAATGCACCCCCGAATTGTGCTGCAGCTTCACTTTATTCTTTTTTATCCTAATGTTGTCCAGGCAGTTGTACACATGTATACAACCGTCCTCAGTTCCTAGCCACATGGTAGGCTGGTTGGCAGTAGTGCCACTATCCTCTGAAGACTGACGACTGGCTGGAGATGACAGTGTACCTGGAATTTTGATACCGTCAGTTTAAAAATTTGCACCATCTACCAACACATTGATCTCTTGTATTAAGCGTGCTTTCTGTGCGGTGTGTTTATTGTTATAGTCTTTTGAGTAAGCTATTTTGTTAAATGCAAGCTGTATTGGAAGAAGTGAGTTTGTTTTGAGTGTAGTGTTCAATATTATGCGAGATTTTATAAATGTTTTCAAAGTTTAGCATATCTTAATGCTTACCTGGTCCCTTGTTAACATTCTATTTATATTTGTCCTTTATCTTTATAAAGCAATTTAATTATAATATCGTAAGCTTATTGAGGTTAAATTAAGGGATATTTTTATTAATAAGCGACAATTAAAGCGTAAGTAAAAAGCACTTCACGCCATGCAGAAATAAATACAACGATTTTCAGTATTACCCAACATGGCACGTCCAGTTACTAAGTAGCATTGGAATAGGAAACATTGAATTTAAATAACTTAAAGTAAAACATTGATACATAGATTGTGTATAGAGGTACAGAAAACTACCAACAGTTAATATTTGTGATAATAGAGAAATTAGAGATCAAGAAACAAATAGAAACTATTATACCATTTGAGAAATAAATCACACTGAAGAGAAATCCTTAAAATCTACGGTTAACAGATTTACTGTGAACTCTAGAACAATTAGAATGGTGATCAAGAACACAGCTATAGAAGATCTTTAGTCTACTTAACGATAAGATAGACTACAATAATACTAAATTAGATATAGATAATCAAAGAGAGACATTGATTGACAAGGAGATTTATATTCTAAACAGATAGATAATGGAAAATAGAGTCTAAAATTGCTTACCAGAATTAATTCCCA